ACCCCCAGCCGTTACTTAAAAAGATGGGGGGGGAGAGGCCCCGTCGCAGGCGGTGGGGAAGCAGCACTTGGAGGCTTTGCCCCTGTAGGGCAAGGGGTAACAGTAGTTACCCGCTTAAGATTAACTGAAACTGCCTTTGTAACTTATTTTTGCTGGAGATTTTGTGTTGGAGATTCAAAGCAACAACAACAAAAATGCAGTGCCCCTCCCCGTTGCTGTTTTTAATAATTGTAGCCGTGGTGATCATGGTGCCCTTTGCAGAGCAGCCAGTGCCGACCTGTCAGTGGCCGAGTGGTCTGTGGGGGCAGCGGGGGAAACAGCAATGATGTCCCAAGTTTAACTGGCCTTACAAAGCCCAGGCAGGAATAAAAAAAAAAAAAAAAGTTTTAAGAGCATAGTAAAAAAATATATATTGGAAAGAGGTTAACGTCATCTTAACATCAGGTCAGCAGACACAAACTCTGGTGTGATGGCCAGGAAGGCAGGGCAGGGGCAGTAGGGTTTGAGCCAGCTTGTTAAAAGGCAGCCTTTTCTGAGGGCATTCTTTTTTTCTATGTTTCCAGTGTGCTTTTGCATGTGTTTCCTGCTAACTGTAAGGTTTTACAGGATACCTTAAGAGGCCCATCATTATTTGTGACGAGCTGGAATTTGAGATAAAATTATGCCTTCAGTAAATTTAGTATGAACTGAGGGAGACTGCATTTTGTCTACCTCTAGGTAACTTCAATACATTATGGTAATACTATCTATACTTTTCCTTATAAGATGAAGTTTTCAGTTCCCACAAGATTGCCAAACTTTATGTTGTTGCACTGAGGTTTCCATGCCAGCAAGTTTATTTATATAAAATTTTATTCCAAATGTTTCTTCTGTCTCAGAGCACAAGTTTGAGAGATTGGAAACAGGAACATGGTCTTCCTTGTGTCAGTAATGCTTACAATGATTGGTTAAGCAGCTTTAATAACAAAGCCACCGTGGACTCCCTTTCCTTTTGCACTGTTTTGAGTATAGCATAGAAGATTCAAATTTGGACCCACGCATTTAAGATTTTCTTAGTGTTGCATGGCAGGCAGTGCTTGTACAGTAAAGATAATGAACAAAAGGAATGAATTTCTTACCTTGTAAGTTCCTACTGTTTTGGTCTTTAATTGAAAGAGCCCATACTGTTTTATTCTAGGGGATGCTATGTCTCAGTGATAGAATTGGAGTGCCATTTGGACAAAGCGTGTTGGGAGGTCCTGGCACTGAGCTGTGCCAGGTCTCCTCACTAACCTTACTGCAGAAGTTGAAACCAAAGAGTACCAGCCCACCCTTAGCTGTTGTAATTTAATGTGGTGATCAGAATTGCTTTTATTTCTCTCCTGTCTAGAGAGAGCAGCTTCCACTTGCAGATGGTGATAGTGAGAATGGCAGTGACAACGAAGATGAGCAGCCTCAAGTGGTAACACTGAAAAAAGGGGACTTGACTGCGGAAGAAGCAAGGAAAATTAAACAGCAATTCAAAGAGGCCTTACAGTCAAATGAATCAGGTGAATTTCAAACTACTAATTTCTTGCTTTGTATAGCCAAAGAGAGAGAACCCATAAAAGGGAGCTTGATATTTGCTCAGTTTTCTACCCTTTAATACTACCTTTGATTAGTTGTTTTGAATTTTTTGGCTAAATAATTTGGACTTGTGATTCCTAATCTGAAGTCGTTGAGTACATATCCAAGCTGTCTGGCTTTTTATAGTGTTGCAGTTCTGTGCTTCTTGATTGTACATCATCCTACCTCCAAATACCACCTTAAATATTTTTTCTTTTCTTTTTATTTTTTCTTTTTGTTTTTTTGGGTTTTGTTTTGTTATGGTGTGTCATTGTCCTAGTACACAGTCTTTTGACATCATCTGTGATAATTTTTGAACTCAGTTCAGCCAAATTTGATGGTGGAGTGCATGTCTTAAAGGTAATCGTATGAGTTCATGAAAGAGAGTGTCTGGGCAGAAGGGGGACACTCAGGTTAGTGCTTCAGTAGAAATAATGGCAGGTGTGTAAGCTCAGTAACGTGTTCATTTAACTGACTGGTCCATGTTATTACTTGCTTAAAATCATCCCCAGTATGTGTTGTGACGTGCAAATGTGTTAAGCAAAACTCAATGGATTAGTTGAAAATATGACACAATAGTGCCAGCAAACAGCAAGGTATAGAAAAAAATGTTTCTTTGCTACGAAGAATTAGAAAGTTTTATCCAAGTTATTAACCGGCTTTTCAAGAATGGAATGATGGAAGAGGTGTGGGAGGGGTTACTGCAGTTAGACAATAAAGGTGTGAAACTATAGCTGATGAATACAGTTACGTTAAGAATTTCTGTCAGTATTGGTTGACATAAATGCTTTGAGAGTCCAAAAACTTCCATCATCACACAGGGTGTGATGAAATGTAGCTTTACTTTTCTTTTTTGCTGACGGAAGACGTGACAGAGTAAAGGTAGATATTACTGTTTCTAGTGGGAAATGTCTTGACTATTAAGAATACAGAACTGGAACCTCACAAGTATGAAATAGAAAGGTGATTCATAGAAGCTGTGGACCTTTTCCTCGGTTAGCCATTGTGGCTATTTACAAAGGCTGTAAATTGATTTTAGAGAAGATTGAGGGGCTAGCACACGGCTATCAATATGACATCCTTAGCTTCTGTCTTTCTGCCATATGGATTCAAAAATTTCAGGTTTGTGCTGTCCCTATGTAGAAGTATGTGTTAAAATTTAAATGGTAGAAATGGAGAAGTCAAACAACAGTAGTGGGAGAAAATACATTGAGAATCTTACATTTTTGAAAAGCAGATTGATGAAAAATTCTTAATTTTTTATAATGTAGGTTAGCTTGAAACTAAATAAAGCTACTTCTGATTTGTTTCTGCGTGTAGATGTGTATACGTAAGGTGTAACCAGGTGGTGGACTGAGGGCTGTGTTTATGTAATTTGAACTCTGAGAAAATGTATTCAGCTTCCAGCTTACTTCCTGGTCTCTTATTATTGAAGTGTAATGCATGTGCTTGGTGCTGCAGTTTGTAAAGTTGTCACATGATTTCTTTTCAAAAGTGGGATCATCCTCCTAGTATTGGGAGAAATTTCAACCGATTGGAAAGAAATGGCATGATTCTTTCTAAGCATTGGTTTCCTTTTCATATAAGCAACTTGAATTTTGAATGATCACAGTAGGAGGAAAAATGATTTTGTAAGGCTAGGCAACAAGAAGTAGTTATCCATGAGAATCTACTGAGGTGGAGTCCATGCTGGGGAAAAAAGTCCAAAAGAGCTACCAAGTTGAATACACAGTATGAAACGGAAGTGTATGTGAATAGAGTAACTGAACTTCTTTAGTGGAAAAAGACATTCCTAAGACATAATTGTATGTAGTGAGGATGGTAGTATTGAGTCCCTGTAGGGCTTTGGCACCTCTGCTTATTACCCCTTCAGCCCTTCAGTAATAACTTGCATTTGGAGGAGAAAAACCCACAGTACTATGTAGCAGGAGTGTTGAAATTACTATGCTCTGCGGACTGCTGCCCTCTGTTCTACATTATTGTGTTACTATTTGTTCATCTGCCTTTGCTTTTAATATGAGGTCTTGGCCTCCTTTTCCTTTTTTTGGCTTACGGGAATAAACAGGGTAAGTGCTACTATGTTCCTCTGCTATGGAGAGGAGCCGGTGTGAAATTTTTAATGAAGGTGTGGATGACTGTGCTACAGCTTGCTGAAGGCTTTTTTGAATCTTTGTCTGTCTTTGCACTGTCAGTCTGACCTCTAGATTTAAATTCTGATTTCTAGTCAGAGGCAGGTATTTAGACAGCTGGTTACTTCCAGTTTAATAAAGAGAGTTTTGAATAATGTGTTAATTTCTTTTCCTTTTTTGGATAATTGTTGATTCAATTTGGGAATTGATTCAAAATGGGAAGTATAAAGAAGGTTTGATGCTGCATGATTTGATTACACTTCTCATTGCTTTTATTTTTATCCCAGAGTTGAAAGTGAAATTAATTTAAGGGGTACTAGCCTATAATATATTGCCCCAAATCAGATCAGTAGTGAAATTACGTGAAGCTGAAAAGGTAGCAGGGAAGTAAATTTTCCAACTGATAATCTTCCTTTCCACCATGCATCAATGCCGAGGCACTTTGATAGATCATAAGTAATGTGCTGCTAACTATCTGTTGTGGAAAGAAACTGTTAGTTTTTCAAAACATGGAAAGTACTCAGTTTGGAGGTTCTGCCCTCTCCTCTTTTGTATCTGTAGGGATTGTCTTCATTTGAAGGTCCTTGTCTTCAGGCTTTGGTTTGGGATATTGTTCTCGGATCTTCCATATCTCATTTACATCCTTTCTCCTTCATTTGCTTCTATAACCAGTTTGACACTGCTACACTTTTTTTTATTTCAGGCACCAGCAGTTCCTGTGACTTGCATTTTCTTTTATAGATGAGTAGCACTTTTGCATTAATTTGGCAAAAACAGCTGATTAACATCCTAGGTGCACTTAGTTGCCTCCTAAGGCAGAACAAAATTTAGTGAAGCTTGTACATTGGCTTTTGCAAGTATAGTCACAGGGAACTTTTTTTATTTAAGACTGAACCTTTCCTATATGAGAAAACGCCCTTCTGTATTGAAATATTTTTCTCCATGGAAGACTGACTTAGAGGCTTTTTAAAAAGAAGTCATTTGTTTATCAACAGTAATTTTGCTTAATATTTTTATGCAGCATTTTATAAATCGTTACTGTTGGTTCAGAGACAAAGAAAAATGGTCTTATGAGAAATTAAATTTGCACAAAAGACAGCAATTACTGCAAGATACTTTATCCCAACATTCATTATAGTCTATGGAATTTATTTTTCTACTGCTTTTCTAGTTCATCTGGCCTCTGGGACACTGATACATGCAGATGACCAAATTTGGCAGAAGATGTCCTTACTCATTCAAAGTCTTTTAATATTATTCTTGTCTCATTCTATATGCTGGGATTGGGGGAGAACAAGAGAGGGGAGAGGCAAGGAGAATACAGTCCACGCTGTCTTGGGTATCAGAGCTCTTTCCTTAGCTTAAGCAGCTGTTATATCAGATACATATCACAGAGTTCATGCTGCTCTACGTCATGTGAACAGCAGGAATCTAAATCAAAGCCAATTGTACAGTATTTAAGTAACAAAAACTTTCCCAAGTGTCCTTGTAAATGATTGAGACTAAATATCTGAGCAAGACTGGCCTTTTTATCTTCATGATACCAGTGTGCGGAATTCCTGTGGTAAATGCTTCCAAAGGCATGCATAGAGATGGGTGTCCAGAAAGCACTAGAAGGAGCATCTGAAACAGCTGACCTGAACTTCTAACCTTAGAAACCATTAAGAAATTTGCCAGGTTATCTTAAATTTTTTCCAACCTTTATCATTGAATAGACATAGATCTTGAAATATTGTTTGTGCTGCTCCTTCTGTTGTTCCTGCCAGTTTAGTGGAGTTTGTTTCCTGTTGTTGCCTCATTGACCCGTGTGGACAGAAACTGCTGAAAAATGGTGCTGCTAACTACACAAATGACTACTAAATAAAAAATATGGTAAACTGAAGAGCAGTGTTTCTTTTTCAGACCCTCATTTCTACTTCTCTTGTAATACATAACTTGCAATTAAAAGAGAAGAGAAAAATTTCTACACTTGTGGCTTCTTAAATTGATGTCACTTGTGAAGTGAGTTTTCAGCTCAGTGTCTGATTGTGCCCCTCTTAGTCAACCAGTGTGAAGGTTGGTGATCCAGGTAAAAGCAGCAATGACTAAGAACAGTCAGAATTCGAACTGCTAGTGTAGTTTTTTGACTCTCTTATCAGGAGTGGATTTTATTATTTCTCCTGTAATGCTTTTATGCCGGTTGTGTTTTACTTTATGTGTTTCAGTGTGTTTATCAGAAATCCTGCTTTCCATAATTTGTAATTCTGATACAGTCTTTTATCAGGGCTCTGTTTTAAAAACTACCAACACTGAGATTGTTTCTTCAATCTCTTCTTTGCATTGCTTAATACAAGTCAGTTTTTGGAGGTCATCGATAAAAACAAAAAAGACAGCTGACACGTTAAAAGTATGGTAAAATTAGAAAGGATGAGGTGAAGCTTTTACCAGCTGGAAAAGACAATCTTAACAAATCAACACAAATTCTTTCAAAAAGCATAGTCTGTCTGTTCTCCCTCTTTCTACAAGTTGCTTAGGTAAGGCTAGGCCTGCTGTGTTTCTTCATCTGCTTCATTCTTTGTCAAGCACTGCCAACACATCATAGCTCTCTGAAGTTGGCCTGGGCTTCCTGCTGAAAGGAATGTCCTTGAGCATATAATGAAATTTTGACAGTGTTTAACCAGGCCAAGAGTTAAAATCCCTTCCTTTGATGCAGAATGATCTGCAAATAGTATTGAGGCCCTGGAGGTCAGAGCTAAGCTAGTTACCATTTTGGTGGAGTTTTTGAGCTTTGCTCTGTTTATACACTGTGCTTATTAAGAGTTTAAATTCATATTGCAAAGATACCTATCAGTTTCTCTATCTGGTAGACAAGATGAAATGATTTTGTGCCGTTCACAATGTGGGTAGCAGGAGACTTGGGGGTAAAATTGAAATTTCTGACTCCCATTTTTACATGGAGTATGAGTAAATAGTTGTTTATCTGATTTTTTTTGTAGATATGCTTTTGTTAGGTTTTTAGGGGTTTGGTTTACTCAATTTACCATTCTATGAAAAGGTAGTAATTGCTCTTTAAAAGAGTGTCCAATGAGGTTTTTTGATGCTCCTCATGCTTCTGCAGTAGCTGGTTGCTTAGAAGTCCTATTTCCACAGCTGTACTGGTACTGTATACAGTCTGTGTGCTGACTGGCTCAAGTATATAGACAGTTGGGTCTGCTTATAAGTGAAATTTTTCTTAAAGATGCATTTTTTTTTTCCAGAATTTGGCTTATATCATATGCCTCGGATCTTGTTTAAGTTAGAAGATCTGGTTTTCCAAATAAACACTGTAGTTAACCAACAATTAGTAAGGGGAATTATTTTATATTTCACTTCAGAGCCCAAAAATGGAGGCAGTTATGTGGAAAAATATTTTGGATTTGGAATTTTTAATCCAGCTTCTGGGAAAAATGGTACATAATGCATTTTAATTGGTTGGGTGTGATATGTTTTCAGAAATAGTTATTTTTCTCTGCCAGAATTTACCGTAGGCACTTCCTAAACTTCTCTATCCCATGTACAGCATCTAAACATCTAAGCTTTCCATGCAGAATTCACAACAGATCCATTGACAACTATGCTTATATCTACAGTTTATTATTGCTGGTAATTCCGTGTAACTATAATGCTTTTCTAATGCACCAGTACTGAAATATTTTCCCAAAACCTGATTAGTTATTTTCTGCATAGTAGTATTCTCTCATAAACTACTGCAGAAGCGTGCATTCTGTAGAAGTCACTGACAGAATTGGTGCTTAGTTTTTCAGGCTAGTTTCTTCTTAAAAAGGGTCTGTGAAAGGAATTATAAGTGAAGTTTCCTAATGAGGTTGATAGTCTTAATTTGTACCACACAACCCTTAAGGCACCAGATTTAATAGTTGTATTGTTTGGAGTATGCACTGAAGAGTGTTTCAGCCAGTGCTATGCATGACAACACCAAAATGTTAAGTCTTCTGCCATAATGCTTAGGGATTGAGGAAAGAATTCATGCTAAAGACAAAAGATATCTATTGCTTATAATTAAATAGCACATAATCTTGTTAAACACATGAATATTGTTAGGAAATTTCTGTTGAATAATGAATTTCACAAAAGTACTTTAGGGAAAATATCTTGCACATAACCTATGATTCTTTAACATCCTGTCACATATACATTATAAAAATTGCAAACTACTGCAGCATGAGCCTTTGTGTCTGATTCATGACTTTACAATTCCACTTTTTTTTCCAGAAATATTGCCTTGATGCTGTTACTTGTGCAGTAGCTTTCCTCCTCTGCCTGATAATCCTGGAAGGGACTTCCCTTGTTTTTAAAAATTTTATTTGCTCTAGTACATGCAGAGGAGCAGAATTAGTCAGTTGAAATATTTTGGTGATTTTGCAGATCCAAAGAAACCCTAAAACTTTCATCCTATATGATAATAAAAGGCAGGTTTATGACCATGTAATCTTTTTAGCTGTCTCAGCAGGACAGGGTATATTAGAAGAAAAAGAAAAGCTTTGTCTTGTATATGTGCCATTTTGATCTTTAAAGTGATACCATAATTCTGAAATAAGTGCATTTGTTGTCATGGATTTTACAAATAGTGAAGTGGAATTAGAAGATCCGATGAAGTTGTCCTCTCCATTTCAATAAGGATATGTGGCTGGATTGCGTGGGAAAAGCTCTACTGCTCACAGTCTCTTCTAAAAGTTAAAGCTCTGGTTAATGAGAACCATTTCTAATAGGAAATGCAGGAGAACTGTCTTCAAGGGCTGGTTTCCAGCAAGGAGAACTGTCTTCAAGGGCTGGTTTCCATGGAGCAGATGTGTGTGCATGAAGGACATTCATTGATACAGACTTTGTGGCCAAAAAATACATTTTCATGATTGTTGTATTCTATCAGAGGTCTCGCTGATCTTGGTCCTGGGGAAAAAGAAAAGATAATGGTGAAGGTCTGTATGTGTGTGTGAACATGTGCAGATGAGTTCTGATTTTACTCTCTTTGTTATAGATGGTGAATCAGAACCTGCTGATGGAAAAATTATGTTCAGGAAACCAGCCAAACGTTCATCAGAGAAGTTTTTGGACTTCAATGTAAGTTCAAGTAAGAAGATGAAAGAGGCAAAGAAAACGAAGAGAGAAGCAACTACTCTTCAGAGTACAGCTAAGCAAATAAAAAATAGCAGTCTCCTCTCGTTTGATGATGAGGAAAATGATGATTAGGAGTTGTATTTTTTTGTATTTTACTTACCCTTCTAGGGATCTGAGTAAGATTGAGTGTTTTCTTAGAAATTGAAGTATGGTATCTGAGTCTTCTCTTACTTCGTTATAGTCCAACTAGAGAAACATAGTATAAAACTAGCAAGAGCTAAGTCTTTGCTGTTCAGATGGAACTGTATGAACAGTATGTCATGTCTTTATTTTAAGAGAATTTAACCATGTATGTAAAAGCTATTTGAGGTCACAAACGAGTAGCAAAATATACCTGTACGTATCCAGCTTATATAATTTTCAATCAATACATTTTAAAATGTCCTCCATTACTAAAAATGCATTTCCTCTCTATTTACTGACCTTAGTTGACAGTTGTGTGTTTTTTACCTGTTATTGTTGACTTGACATTCAAAAGAGAGAGACTTCGTTGCTGTGGAACAGAGACTGAACTTTTCTGTCTCATAGCTTAACAAAAGTTTGCACTAACTTTTGCATGTGTGGTTTGGCAGATTAGCTCTTTGCAGAGCCCTTGCAGTAAGTGAGCCTGCAGTTGCTAAAATCATGTAGCCTTAATCCTGTCTTTGGTGAATGCAGTCTAAGAAGCATCACATTCATTTGGATTGATTGTGCTAGCAAGATACGAAAATTTTGATTGTAGTTGATGGTATCAATTAATGCAAAAGAAAGATGCCTAAACCCTTGGAGATTGTGCACTTTGGTTATCACACTGATGGGCTCACTGGTTTGGTGGTGGGAGTTCTTTTAAGTATATTTGTTCCAGTTGGCTACATGTGTGTTCATAATTATTTGGGATCTCAAACAGCTTATTTAAAAAAATGTATTTCATCTTTAAGCTGTGGAAAAGCATTATTTCGGTTTTCTTCAAGTAGGACATTGTAAACAGGAAATTTAAGTCAAGAAATGTTATAGCTGTGATAGACAGTTTTAAAATTTTTCAGTTGCCCATGCACAGTACACTGAAAGTGACCATTTCTGTACCATTTATGTAACAGGATGTGCTGAAATTCAAAATAACACTGAGAGATGATGGAATTGGGGAGAACAAGGTGGTGGAAATGGGACTAGTGACTTTGAAATTATTTGGAAGTGTGGTGTATTCTGTAACCATACTTAAACAAGACCTGAGACTGCTGCAGAATTACAGGGTACAAGGCAATGAAACCAGTTCTGCTGCTGCGTGACAGGACATTCAAAATTACTTGGGCTGTAAAGCTTCATTGAGGAGCAAATTTGAAGTTGCTGTGTGAAACAGCTGGTTTTAGTTTGTTAATCTGGTATTAAACAATAAATTATGTTTTCTGTAAATGGTCCAAAGATATTTTAATGAAAATTTCAGTGCATAAAATGGGATTTTTTTGTCACCTGATGATGAAGCCTCTTATGACTGCTACCTGTCTCCATACATACCAACTTCCTGCAGCATAAGATCAGATGCAAGTCTGCATACTATTTCACACTAATTATGTGAGTGCATGTTACCCTGATTTTGAAAATGAATAGATCTGTTGTCCTTTCAGAAAATTAAAATCAGACCTACAAATGGATATTAAAGTCATGTTGTAGCACTGGTCTGATATTAGAACTGCCAGAGAGGTGCAGTGTGACAGCCTGATTATTCCTGTGAGGACATGTTACATTTGTAAATACATCATTTGTCTGTATTCTGCATATATAAAAAAGAAAATCAAATGTAGGAAGAAGAAATACAGAATCAAATGTTCCCAGGGATTAATCGTTCCATTTATTTTGTATACTTAAAACTTGTTTGAATCCATTAAAAAATATGTATATACACCCATGAGAAATCTTGTAGCATTATGGTATACTGAAGGAATATTTGGGCATATTTCAACAACTGAGTAAACACTCTGACTTGCTGAGACTCATTTGAAAGAATGAATTAACCATTGACTGCTTACTTAAACTTTTCTGGTTCTGTTTGTCAGCACAAAAATATATTTGCTTACGTTTTTCTTGCACAGCCTGAAAGCTTTTCACTTTAGCTGTGAGGCAGTTTAGGAGACATGGCTATCAAGAGAGAAATGCTTGCCAAGGATCAGAGGGAATTTGGATTTACCTTAAAATTAGAGGGGGCCTCCCAAATATGCAGTTGATTTGGCATGTTCAAAATAAGATTGAGGTCTTGTTTGAATCTGGTTAGTAATTGCATTTAAACAAAAAATACTATTTCTAGTGAAAGACTTGTGAGACTGAAGTCCAGTAAAAAGAGGGTTACCTCAAAACATTGGGTGCAGTACTTTTGCTTAATCATGCTCCTTGCCCTACAACTTCATGACAGATGTCTGGAATGCAAATAAATTAATTGGGTTTACTTGGAGATAAGATAATGAAAGGCATGTTGTTCTTCAGGCAACACACTAGGGGAAAGAAAGGTGGATACAGAAACCCAGTTTCTTTCCTTTATTGTGACTTTGATTTGTAGTGCTCTGACCAGGAGGAGACCTTTGTATTCATTGTATTTCACTCCCAGTTCACTTAACAATAACTAATTGGATATATTTATTAAGAGGTGTGAGTGATGCACAAAAGCATTTTAGTCAAGTAGTCATGTGAAAATTCAGTGTTCCTAATGTGACACACCAGGAAAATTACACATGCCATCAACTCCCTATGAAACCTGTGACTAAAGAGAACAATTACTTGTTCATTTAGGAAAGAAATGTGAAACTGTCTTAAGCAATGACCTGCCTTAAGCAATGGGTCATGGAAAAATAATCTCAAGAACTTTCTAATACAGGGGAAGCCAAAGTGAGCACATGGAACATGGGGCTAGGACTGGAATGGACAATTTTCCTGGCTTTTTCTTTCTCTCTCTCTTCCTTGCCCCCATCCCCACTCCTTTTCCCCTCCTGTATTGGGAAATGTATATGTATCTTTTTTTTTTTCTTGTGGTGTTTGCTCAGCTAAGCATGAGAGAAGCGCTGTGGAGGAGCAAGGTGAAAGTAGCTGTGGCCTGTTACCTAATATGGGAATCTTGTACAGTTTTTATTAATACAATCTTTGACATTTCCCAGTTCATTAAGACTCCAAAACATTTATTGATGGTGGTGGTAGTTCTCGCTCTTCTTAGCTGAGCAATAAGCCAGAACAAACCTGGTGAACTGTAGTAGCATTGCAGCAATGGTTGCTTATGGTGGAGGCTTTTTATGTTGCAAAGGTGCTTGGATGTCATCAGGAAAGGTGAGATGCTCTGTCACCTTTCTTTCTTTTGAAGAAACAGGATCTTTCTCTAGGTGTTAGGAATCAAGGTGAATCATCAAGAATGCTGCATTATTGAGGTAGAAATTGCAAAGACATGGGACAGAATGAGCAAGAAAATGCACGTGTGGGAAGGTGGTCCAGGAGTTCCTACCCTCGCTTATATTTCTAGCCTGTCTGATAAGGTTAATTTTTCTCAAATAAAAACAAATTTGTTGGACTGCAAATGGTCATTTCATTGGCCTAAACAGGAAGGTCAGAATTCTATTCTGATAGTTTTTATGTCCGGCACTTTTCCAGGAAATATCATTTGGAGGATCAAAGGCTGTGTTTTGCAGACACTGAATGCAAGAAGCCTGTATTTAGCTGTTTTAATTACACCTTTTTTTAAGTTTCGTCACAGGACTTAATGTCTTTTTTTACAGTGCTTCAGTATATAATCCTGTTAGGAAGCTGCAGATTTATAATGAAGCAGGAAGTAGCAATGTCATCATTTCAGCTGATTGTTTCCCTTGTGCTGTAGTGTATTAACTAAGTAATGCTTCACTTGGCTGTGTAGAGCCAACTGCATTCTCAAGGACATCAGACATGTCTGAAGATGAGTCATTACATTTGGTACAGCACAAGAGGTATGATATGCAGGCTCAGCAAGTGTTTGTCCATTGAAGTTGGTTAATAACCTATAGCCCTCTACTGTGGCAAGATGCCATAAATCAATCCTTTGTGCATTCAGCAAACAAAGGCTGGTGTATCAACTGCCTCTTCAGTATCATCCCTTTATTCCCATTCCTAGAGCGAGGTGTTAATCTGCAAAGAGATTTTTCATGTTGTGGGACACCCCCCCCCCTCTCCCCCCCTTCCTTGAGAGCATTCCTCATCAGGAAAGGTGAGATGCTCTGTCACCTTTCTTTCTTTTGAAGAAACAGGATCTTTCTCTAGGTGTTAGGAATCAAGGTGAATCATCAAGAATGCTGCATTATTGAGGTAGAAATTGCAAAGACATGGGACAGAATGAGCAAGAAAATGCACGTGTGGGAAGGTGGTCCAGGAGTTCCTACCCTCGCTTATATTTCTAGCCTGTCTGATAAGGTTAATTTTTCTCAAATAAAAACAAATTTGTTGGACTGCAAATGGTCATTTCATTGGCCTAAACAGGAAGGTCAGAATTCTATTCTGATAGTTTTTATGTCCGGCACTTTTCCAGGAAATATCATTTGGAGGATCAAAGGCTGTGTTTTGCAGACACTGAATGCAAGAAGCCTGTATTTAGCTGTTTTAATTACACCTTTTTTTAAGTTTCGTCACAGGACTTAATGTCTTTTTTTACAGTGCTTCAGTATATAATCCTGTTAGGAAGCTGCAGATTTATAATGAAGCAGGAAGTAGCAATGTCATCATTTCAGCTGATTGTTTCCCTTGTGCTGTAGTGTATTAACTAAGTAATGCTTCACTTGGCTGTGTAGAGCCAACTGCATTCTCAAGGACATCAGACATGTCTGAAGATGAGTCATTACATTTGGTACAGCACAAGAGGTATGATATGCAGGCTCAGCAAGTGTTTGTCCATTGAAGTTGGTTAATAACCTATAGCCCTCTACTGTGGCAAGATGCCATAAATCAATCCTTTGTGCATTCAGCAAACAAAGGCTGGTGTATCAACTGCCTCTTCAGTATCATCCCTTTATTCCCATTCCTAGAGCGAGGTGTTAATCTGCAAAGTGATTTTTCATGTTGTAGGACACCCCCCCCCTTCTGCCCCCCTTCCTTGAGAGCATTCCAGAGGCAGCAGTCACAAGGGTAACCATTAAAACCAGGGGAGAAACACCACAGGATTTTACATGAGTGACTGCAACCTCCTGTAGACTTCCTCAAGATTTTGAGAACCTATAGAATCTCAGAGCCAGCCCCTGGGAAGTAACTTCCTCCTGGGGAAAACGGATGGGACCAGTCAGGAAAATTACAGAAGATTGAATTCTACGGTGTTTACCCCACTATCACTTCTTATTTTTTGTTGGAGGTAAAGCAACAGCTGGCAAAAGCAGTTTTTCCTCTATCAGGAGATGTAAAGTGGCTTTGGTGCTATTCCAATCCATATGGCAAAGGATTCCTTTTCCTTGACTCCTGTGGCAGTCCTCAGTGCGATGCCTGATTAATTAAGGCCATGGGCAAGAGGGAGCTACCTTGTAATAGGCAGAAGTTATTAGAGGAAGGTGTTGTCAAGCCTCCGTGGGGTAACGGTGATCACTGCACACTTTTAGTTTTGATATCATAAAAGAGTTGTTCCCTTAGGGACAACATAGTAACAACGAACTTTAAAAGGGCAGATTATAAAACTATGAGGAAAATGGTTAACAGCAGGCTGAAGGGCAAAGAGAAGTACTTAAAAACCATAGAGATCTGCCTGGAGGCTATTTAAGAACATTGTATTAGAGGCGCAGATGGTTTGCATACCTCTGAGCAAAAACATAGCGTATGAGGAAGAATGAAACTCACAGGGTTATGCAGGAGAAAAGCGTGAGTATAGAAAGGTTGAAAGCGCATCCCTTAAAAATGACGACTGTCTGAATGACAGACTAGGAAATGTTATCAGGAGAGTGGAAAGAGCTGGAAAGTGTCAGTGCTAAGAAAAAGACTATAGCAGCTGCTGCCTTTGGATCCCTGGGATGAAACACCAAGAAGAGTGATTCTGATAATGTTCTGAGCACTTTGCCTTTGAAAACTGGGCTACTCCAGATGAGACTTCACCAGAAAAACAAGGATGCTCTTAATCTGAGTTGGCTAGCACAAACCAAAATCTCAATAAAGCCAAAGCAGTCTGCCATTTTAATGTGTGACTAGGCCAAATTTAAGAGTAAAGGAGCCCATTCAGACATAGTTTCTCTATACTAGGACTTTAATTTCACCTTGTGTTAGATTCAGTGCCAAAAATGATGTTTTTAATCTTTGCCAAAGAAAGTAGAGATTAAAAAAAAAAATCAAAGACTCCTAAAAACTCTAATTTTAGTGAAAGCAAAAAGTTTACATTTGTTCTGGTACAGCTCTGGGCCGAGAGGGAGATTATCTGATAAGTATGTAGTGAGGTTTGCAGAGCTTTTTTGCACCAAAGTGTGATTGGGCAGATGCAGCATTTTGTTGTCATGTATCTGAGAACAGGAACACACTGATTATAGATTAGAAGGGGAATACTTCAAGTATCACAAATCTGATGATATGTGCAAAAAAAGTGTCCTTGTGAAACCAATGAAAGTTATTTTCTGGTTTAAAACCAAGGAAAGGCAAGGGAAGGCTGGAACAACTATTTTGGCAATAAAAATTTGATGCACACAGTCTCAGTGGGACTACAGCCCTGGCATCTAGGCTATTTTATTCTGCCCTGTTAAATTGAAACAAACAATTCAGCTGCCCGAGTCTCTTCTCCTCTGACATGCCAACTATCTCGAGAGAAGAGATTAAGCATTGTTCTGATCAGTGCCGCAGCAGCAGTTTTATAATTTAAGGGCTGCATAAAATTTATGGAGCACTGAGAAGAGCTTAAATCAATTTTATGATTTTCATAAATTATTGCAGGCAGATGATGTTTGTGTAGAAAGCCAGTGATGTTTGAGCTGTTTATCCAATGGACAACAACATTCAAAATAGGGATTTTCAAAGGCACCTGTGGGAATTACGCATTCGAGTTTGATGGGAGTTAGAAGGTTTGTTCCTTTGAGCTACTTAGTATTATTCCAGTATTCATTTTTAATCATGCCAAATTGTTTCAAATACTTGGTAAAAATCAAAATTAAAGGAAGGTCAAATTCAGAGCCATTTTTAAATTTCATTGCTATTGTGCTTAATGTGCTTATAAACGGGGGGTAACTTGTAATTCTATTTCAGGTGAAAAACCACTTTGGCACTTGAAGAGTTAACCCTTTTCTTACTACAGTGTAGTTTTGGGTTGTTTAGGTCCCATTACTGTGAGGAACTTTGTTCTCTCTCTGCTTAAGGCTGTTCCTGCAAATTACTCCAGCTGCTACAGAGAAGGATCTGCCCGTAGAGCAGAAAGAGAAACAATACCTGGTTCCTTGTCACACATTTCAAGATTATATAAGACAAATATGATTCCTTACATTACAGATATGAATAGAGATTGAACTTTCCTTCTGGACAACTAGCCAAGGAGGAGCTGATAAGATACAGTTCCCATTTCATCGTATTTTGGGTATAATTGGTGCTTGAAAGAGCCCTCCCCCTCACTGGGCATCAGGATACAGATAGGTTGGAGACCTTTCATCATATTGGGATACCTCTGAGCTATAATATTCGGTACTTAATTTTCTTTATTTTAAAGTTCTCCAACTCCTCTAAAAAGAAATAATTGTGTTTCAGATTTTTGCAGCCTGAATATGCTAAACACGGTATTAATGGGAAGAATCGTTGCTGAATTCCTCTATGCTGGATGGGCAGCTTGGGCCAAGTTATTTGCTGATGTTACTCCCTTGCTCTCAATAAAATGCTACTGATAGATATATGAGCTCCTTACTAAACCTGAACAAGGTAGTCTGAGGTGAATAGGTTTAAATTCAAGGCAGTGAAGCGTTGGACACTCCAGGATCTTGCCACTGAATTCCTATAGCCAACAACATACATAAATGATGGGAGCGACTGACTCCGTGGTCATTCTGCAGGAAGGGATCTGTGACTGCCGTGAATTAAAAACTGAACACAGGCCACGGTGTGAGGAAAGCTAATGCAATTTCAGCTCTATAAATAATGTGTCATGGAGAAGAAATGTGAAGTAATCCTACCCTGCTTATTCTCTGCTTCAGACCTTAGCTGGAGTAATGCGTCTACTTTTGTGCACTACACTTCAAAAAAGAAAAATGTAGACCAATTGGAAAGTCCAGCAGAAAGTAGTGCTATTGATCAGAAGTCTAGAAAACATGACCTGTGAGGACAGATTGAAAGAAGTGGGTTTATACATCTAGAGAAAGGAGATGCAGGGGAGGAAGTAAGAATGTGATACCAGTCTTCAGATATGTAAAGGCTGCTGCAAATAAATTGTTCTGTGTGTCCACTGGGAATACAAAAAGAACTAATGGATTTAAATTGCAGCAAAGGAGATTTAATGAAGACATTCGGACAGGCTTTCTAGCTGTAACAGTAGTAAAGTACTGAAACAGATTGCCTGGGGAGGTTGTGAAATCTTCATTGCCAGATGTTTTTAAGAACAGGTTAGACAAACATCCATCAGGAATGATTTGGGTATAATTGATCCTGCCTTAGAGCAGAGGGCTGGACTAGATGACCTCGCCAAGGTCCCTTCCAACCCTATTATCTATGGTTCTCTCATTAGGAAGGCTGATGTGATATTCCTAGGACCTCATCATTCCTTTTAAAAGCAAAAACATGCTATAGGGATGCCAAGAGTCAGATTTAAACTGACAATATCCGGGAAAATTCAAAGCTTAAGGTTGATAGCCCACCCTTAATTATTAACACTTGAATGCATGTAACACTTGTTCAAAGGCTAAATATTTGGAGGTTACACAACTGAGTCTTTTATGACCAGACTGTGATCTTTCTAATAGCATAAGAATCTGTTTCTTCTAACGTGTATTAATCTTACATATTGCAACTTCCACTTTGTCATTTGAGTAAGTAGCAGGCATTGGTCTTTAGCATCTAACATATTCCAGGTGGGGTCACTTTCATTTCGTGTGCCATCACACATTTGGCCACATGCTATGCTTCCACTCACTCACTCCAAAGCTCGTTCTTCCACTCCTATTTATCATTATGCTAGTGCTCAGCTTCGTTACATGGCTGTGTTTAAATCACCAATACCACTGTTAATGCGCTTGGTACGCTTCTCTCCATTCTCAGGCACTGGATATTCCTCCTGCTGCTTTCTGCTCACATGTTCTTTTATTCCTGTTGATAAATTTCATTTTCATCTGTCTCTTGCTGCATTCCCTTCAAGCTGTGCTTGCGTTACAAACTGGGGTTTGCAATTTTGTTTAGCAATTGGATTGCATCCAAATATTACCAAATGCCACATCTTTTAATATCAGGCAGAGCAGCTTGAAGTTTCTTCCTCAGAGTGCTGTAAAAGACACACTGGCATGTTTTCTGTGCAAATGCCAAAAAAAAAAAAAAGTTTAACAAAAGATGGGGGGTGCGAAGCAAGCTGAAATGTCTCTATTCCCAGAACTTTGTATTTTCCCTGATTTCAGGTTTTAGTTCATGACCCAGCTGCTGATTTATGTAACTTGGTGGAACTGTGCCAGTTTTGAGCGGCCAAGAATTTGGCACTGTCACTTTGGTG